TGAAATAAGGACCCGGTTTCTAAGCGGTCAAGTCCGTATATGTAGAAATGCGGATCTATTAATAAATCTATTTTTTGAAATGGATACTTGGACTTAATTTTTAAAAACATGTAATCTCTGACATGGAGATTATGAATATGAAAACATAAATAAATTTTAAAATCTAAAAAGATAATTCTAACAAGAAAACATCTGAACCGTTAGCTTCTTGTTTTTAAAGCTTTGAACTAAGAAGATAATTCTAATCATTCGGTCTAGCCGGCATGAAAATAAGTCAGGGATGTACATAGAGTGAATGGAGCGATTGATAATAGTTTAAGCAGTGTTCAGGAACTCAATCAAGCCGACTTGGGTACGGCCAAGTAGAAGTGTTTGATCCGACAAAAGCACTATGATTTGTTGCATTTTAAAGATAAAAAAATTGGGGATTTTTGTTCTATTTTTTAAAGCTTTGATAAGTACATTCCCGTTGCCGGTCATTATTCCACAAAGATAAATGGGGGATTTTTTTGCCTTATTTTTTTAAACAAAAAATATTTATTTTTCTTTTTTTGAATTTTTAATGATATCTTGGATCTTAGACATCTAAAGTTGGATCCAAAAAATTAATTGAGGGTTTCCACTTGTGCTACATAAAGAAGGTTTTGCCCGGATTTGGAGGCCCGATTGGTACCAAGAACAAAAATCTGGCTCTCGGCCTCAAAAATTTAGGTAAATCCGATTTTTATTTTTAAAATTTATACCACAGTTCAATGTTTTATTATATTACTATTTGTTCTTCCTTGTTTTATTACTGCAATTAGTTCTCTTTTTTGGCATTCTAAAAAAAACCATGTATCGGTCATTTTTTTCCCAATTTTATTGTACTGCACGACATTTTGATGAATGTAATATATTTCTGGTATTTCAGAATTGGTTTCCTTTTTATATTTTCTTTATATGAATGTATCTGCATTTAGTTTGCTATCTTTCTGTTAAAAAAGAATTATTATCTCAAAAGTAGTATTACAAAGTTTCTGATTTCTTAGATCTATAAATTTAGATAATCCATTTATTTGTAAACTTCATAATATGAAAAACATTCTGCTTTTCAGTTAAGGAACTATTTTATAGCTAAGAATATTTTGTTTGGTAGATCTATTTTTGCGAAATAGGTTAAATCTTATACATTAGTAATTTTCCAATCTATTTTTGTCTGCAAGAAATAGGTTTGTTTTATAATATCAATTACCTGTGATTTAAGGAATCATATACATATTTTGTTTTATTTTATATTCATTTACTGCAATTCATATATAAAAGGAAGAAGTTTATATAGAGCTGAGGCTCTAAACAATCAAATTTGAGCCTACCTCAAAAATTTCACTATAAGAAATTGTTTTGATGGCCAAATATCCTCAAATTGATAACCTCCACATCCCATGCATGGACATGAGAAATAAGTGGATTTCAAGTTTTGAAACTAGTGCACCTTGTAACATATTTTTGGACCGTCAATTTTCAAGATTTTCAAGTTTTCATATATCTACTCAATCTACATTGTTTTTTAGGCTTTAAATATTATAATTAAAGAAAAAAATATATTTTAAAGCTATCACAAATATTTCCATTATTGAACTCACATTTCTTGATACTATTTGAAGGTGTATTGTACTCTGAATTGTTTAGAAACTCGGCTTTATACAAACCTCACCTTATTTATTAATCGCTTGAAACATCAACTACCAAAAAAAAAATTGGAAAGGTGTAAAGAAAAAGGGTAGCCAAGGAGATAGAGAAAGAACATCATGCACCTGCACCCTGAAGAGAAGATGTGGGGCAGAGTATTTGGATCAATTGGAATAGTTTAGGCTGGCTGGTCTAACAAATACGCAGGAGAGATAGACGGTAGATTGATGAGATATTTGGGAGACAGGCAGGAGCTTCTAGCAGTCATGCTCCCCATGTCTATAGTACCACTAAGCATCATTCTTATCCCAACCTTCTACTGCATCCTGTTCTTCTACTACTTGCTAGCCCCAAACCCCGACATTTACCTAACAACCCAAACCTTATTCTACCCTCTATGCACTTGAACCCACTCGATAAAAAATATTTATTAATTGTACCCTCTATGCACTTGAAAAAATGTCTCTAAAATTAATATGAGACCATCCAATTTTTAAATGATGAGATCTAAATGTTAGGAAACTCCTATTCTAATCTTTTTTTTAGAATAATCATTTAGTAATTCTTGAGTGATTCCCAAAATTTCAGATTGAAAAAATATTACTAAGTAGGTCTTTTGGGGTAGAAGTAAGCTCTGCTTCCAAGGGATCACAAAATACATTCTCCTCACAAACTGTAATCCTTAATTATTAACTAAAATTTCACATCCAAGAAAATCAACCTGAAAGGGCAATAACTACAAAAAAAAAATTGTCCTTCACAGGTGATTTCTTTGTGCAAGAACAGATATATGTGCCTCTAGTGCAAGACCTAAGATACAGGTGCCCTCTCTCTCACATAATTTCGACCAATCAAAAATCCCATCCCATATGAAAGGGGATGGCAATTAACATGTTTTTGCTAGTCCCACAAAAAAATGGTGGATATTCCCTCAGGCCGCGTGCGTCATTCCCACACACATTTATATGGGACTACCAAAAGCATGGGTAGGAATAAAAAAACAAATCAATCAGCAATAAGACGTAAATAATTGTTAGCTTTTGATGATACGTTTGAAAAACTAAGAATTTATAACTTTTAAGAACTAAGAATGAACAACTTCAAAAAACTCCGGCAATTTCTGAAAGTTAGAAGTTTGAAAAGGAGGCCCAGTTCTTAATTGAAACAGTTGAGTTCCAAATATGGCAGATATAGGAAAAATAAAGGACAATTGAGCGAACCCCAATTCCGAACTCGGTTCTCTAGAGACATATGTCAAGTATGTTCTCAGTCAACATAACACATTAAGCTCTAATGGCTTCGCATCTGGCCCGTGTTTATGATGAGAATAACAAAATAATGGGTATGAATAGGAAAAGATGGACCAGATTAGCAGTCCCAAGTTCACATTTATAAAAAAAGAGTCTATACAATGAAACCGAGATCCGATTACTTATAACCATCCTATGCAAAATCTGATAGCTTTGGTGTATCATAAAGTTAAAAAAAAAAAAAATTAGAACTTTATGCTTGGTCAATAGGATAAATGAAACCACTCAATTTCACATCCAATGGTCAAATATTAATGCTTGGTCAATGGAATAAACGAAACCACTCAATTTCACATCCAATGGTCAAATATTAATTGTGTCCAGCTTGTATCAAAGGTAAATGGTCCCATTGTATACTTTTCCTTAAAAAAACTTATTAGCTTGTTAACTTAAAAAGCTACAATTTCTCCAAACATGCCTATAGAAATGCCTAAGTACCCAATAGAAGGGATCTCCTCCTGGACCCCCTGCTTGATTTCCGAAGAAATTGTGGTCTGCCATTTTTTTTTGCTAAGTGCCCGTTTGATTCCCTGAAATTTTCAATCTTTTAGAAAAGTGTATCCTGGAATTGATATTTATTGGACTTGGCATTTCTTGGAACATGGGGTATGTATTCTATCTTTTTTCCTTATATTTTGTTAAATAGAAACTAAGAAAATGCAAATTCCAAAATATCTTTTTTTTGGAAATGCAAATTTTGGATACTCTCTCTCTAAAAATTTTAGATACTCTCTCTAAAATTTGATATAGTATCTCTTTAAAATTTTGAGATACTATCTCCCTCTAAAAAGGTAAAATCTAATATAGATTCCCTCTATAAAATTTTTGAGATAGTTTCTCTCCAAAGTTTTTTTGGCATTAATGTCTCTCTAAAATTTTAAAGAATTTTATCTCAAACTTAAAATTTGAGATAGTTTCTTTCTAAAAATTTGGAGATAGTTCTTCTCTCTATGAAATTTTAGGTACATTCTCACTCTGAAATTTTCGAGTAGTTTCTTTTCCTAAAATTTTAATATATTTTATCTCTCTAAAACTTAAAATTTGAGAGTTTCTCTATCTAAAAATTTTGAAATAGTATCTCTTTAAAAATTTCAAGTAATTTATTTAATAGAATTTCTCTCTCAAAAGTTTTAAGATATTTTTTCTCCCTAAAACTAAAAAATTGAGATAACATCTAAAAATTTTCAACTAGTTTATCTATCCAAAATTTTATACAATTTCTATCTTTAAAATTTTAGACATGATCCTCCTCCCCCACCCATGTGTGTAGGACCCAAAAATATCACCATTAAATTTGACACAGATCTATAGAAAAGTCAAAATACCACACCCCTGTGGTAACTTTTCTAAAGATCCGTATCAACTTTAATGATGATCCTTTGGAGTCCTACATACATGGATGGGAGAGGGTCTTATAAGGTCATTACTCAATTTTAATACTCTCTAAAACTTAAAATTTTGAGATAACTTCTCTAAAAGTTTTGAAATCTCTCTCTAAAAAAAATTTAGCTCTTCTATCTAAATTTTAATGTAGTTTCTTTCTCTAAAATTTTAATATACTTTCACGCTCTAAAACTTAAGATTTAAGATAGTTTCTCTATTTATTTAAGAAGCTCTCTATAAAACGTTAAATTTATGATAGTGTCTCTCTGTAAAAAAAAATTTCATGTAATTTCTCTAAAAACTTTCATATTACTTTCCCTCGATAAAATTTGATATAGTTTCCCTCTCTAAAATTTTAATATGAATCCATGAAAAAATAGGGTTGTTTCCATGAAATGTTGATTCCACCTGTTTCAGTGGAATTGAGATTTCTCAAATTTAGGCTTAAAATAAACATTCGGGAACCCACAGAAATCTCAATTCCAACAGAAATGTCAATTCGAACCAAACACGTCGTTCCAAAAAAAGTGACTCCTAGAATTATAAATCCAAAGAACCAAAGTGACTCCTAGAATTATAAATCCAAGGAACCAAACAGGCCCTAAAAGAGCTATCTTCTCAACCAAAACAAAGAAAAGGTTCATCTTCAAGAAGGGGAGTCCATCATTCCACTCCCCCCCACAAAATAATAAATTATTACACTAAAATAATACAAATACATACAAATTATGCATTGCCATGGCTTACATATACGCATACACAATTGTATGCATGCTTGGGCACATGCTTTCGATTACAAATATTACCCAAAGGAAACTTAAATGATGAAGGGAGCATGAAAACATGCCACGAGAAGCAACTCAAATCATCTTCTCAAATTTGTCGAGCTTTTGTACTCTTTGCATGGATCGAGCAAGCAAAGCAGCAAAGACAGCTGTGTAGCAACCAAAAGAAAAGGTCATGATCATATACCAAAAAATGGATAAAACATATCTCACATCCAGTATTGCAGAGGCGATAGTGCTCCAAAATGAATCCTAAAATAAATAGAACATTTTGGCCGCCCTAGTGATGACCATACATGGTTTTTGTACTGATGTGCTTATGGTCCCAAATGTATAGCATTTTTTGATTCCCATTAGGGGAATGATACCATTTTTTGCTCCCCTGGGGGATTTGTACTTAGAAATCTGTTGAGGGTTCCTCCCTCTTTCCCTTTCCCTTTCCAATGTACTTACTTCCTTTCCTTTTAGCAATACAATGCTTAACATTCTCAAAAAAACATCAAAAAAAAAAATTTGAAACCTAAACATTTGAATTTTGATAGGAATTTCAGCGGTACTTCAGGTTTGTAAACAGAACAAGAAGTTCTAAAACTAAACGTTTAACTTCAGGAAATTCCAGCAATTTCTGAAACTAACTGTGAAAAACAAGCCAATTGTTTACTGAAAAACTGGTATTCCAAATTTCTGCAGATATCAGAGAAAACAAAATATAATTGAGTTAATTCAGAACTCTGCTTGCCAGGTATATCTAAGTATGTTCTTAGTCAACATAGCATATAATAAAAGCAAAGATTTGCCCCAAATGCCTATTTTCATTGGGATCATGCTGATATCTTTCAACCATCAAAAGAAAGCATAGAAACCAGCATTCACAAGCATGTAAATATAAGATCATGCACATGAATGTGTGCGTTGTGTGTGTGTGTGTGTGTGAGAGAGAGAGAGAGAAAGAGAGAGAGAGAGAGAGAGAGAGAGAGAGATCAGAAGAGATACCAGCACCAATGAATGAACCATTTGCGAACGCTTGGCTGCCTTGGAAGGTGAGTGTCACACCCAAGTTCAACAATGTTCCACCTGCAACTGTATATATAGTGGCTGACTGCATGATTGATGCTCTTCGAGCAGCCCTTTCTGCCTGAAGAATACCATCTTGTATGTTTGTCAAATGACTTCAGCGATGAAATATATGCGTGGATGTGTGTGTGTGAGGTTCCATTCAAATGCATTCCCCTTCCAAAAATCTATCGTATGGATGGATCTAGGATCTTAAACGCATCCTCAGTGATTCTCCACTCTATATCCACAATTTTTCACCTCAAAAAATAGTGCACATATGATGATCTGCGAAGAACTAAGATGTACGAGAATGAATGGTCCAAAAACATATTTTACAATAGCATTAAGATTATAATGTTCAAAATCCATTTTTTCCAGATTTAGGATTGTGATGGTGGTCAAGATTATGGACCTGTCAAATTTTAAGTCCAAAATCCATCTCTAAGATG